AAATATAAAAAAGAAGTGTGTTGTAGATAAATTAGGAAAATATTTATTAATAAAGTTATAGCAAAAAGAGTTTTGAAATTTATAAAAATAATTAATTTTATATATAAAAAAATAATAATGATGTGAAGGATGAAATAAACAAATTGAATTGAGAGAATAAGGAACAAATAACACAAAATTAAAAAGTGGTAAAGGTGAATATAAACTGGCTAGAGAAAGGTATATATATGATGGCCTAATATTAGCAACATATTCCTTGTTGCTAAATTTTGGTTGGTAAAAATATAAGAATAACAACAACATGATATATGTTGCTAATGCTTTAGGTACTTAGAAAATTTTTAGTAACATGTCCTTTGTTATTGAAATTCATTTTTAACAACAAGAACCATATTGCTAAAAGTAGAGCTCACTTTTAGGTGGATAATGTGTAGTGTCTAATGGCCGGAATATTTGAGCAACAAGGGGTATGTTGCTGAAAGTGGAATAACTTTCTAGATTAGAGAGTGAACTATATAACTTTTAGCAATGTAATCTTTATTGGTGAAAATTTATATCAACAACAAGATCACCTATGTTGTTGATACTTTGTTGCTAAAAGTAAGAATTTTAGTAGTGGTAACAGATTCCATTCTTCTATTTCTGATTGTTGCTTGGTTTATTTGGTTTTGGAGGAATATGCAGGTGTTTGGAACAAAGTTTATGTATAAGGTATTATTATTGGAGTATATACCGTATAAATTATTTTTATGGCTTAAAAATAAAAAGATAGGGTGTGCTTTTTCCTATCAAAATTCGATCTTAAGGTCGATAGAGTGCAAAGGAAGCGATTATTTAACATTGTAATAATAAAAAAATTTATCACCTGCTGCAACGAGATATGGGATGATTTTACTTTAGTTAATTGTTGCTGATTCATCTGCTAAATCGTCAACTCTTATGTGCTTGTGATTACATTTGAACATTTTGTTTGACAGTTGCATTTTTATTTTGGAGTATTTCTTATACTCTTGATTAATAAATATATCATTTGTTTTGCTGCTAAAAAAAAAAAAAATGGAGTTCCACTCATCTCTTCTTGATTAAATTTCTCCGATCCAAATTTCTTCTGATTCCGTCCTTCCCAAATGATCCATACCATTGCAGAGGGCAAACCATGATGGTACTCCAGCTGTTCCCTGCACTTTCTTTTCGGGTACAGACTGCCAGGTCCACCTGTTTGTTAGGTGTTGCCTCCCATCAGGACTAGCTGTCAAAAAGTCCCTACCATAGATAATATTTTGTCCCTATTTTTTTGGTGAAAATATTTGGCCATATTTGCCATGCCATTATGCAGGAAAACAACAAATGATTTGTATTTTCCTCTAATTTAATTGTCATATCAAAAATTCGGTTATACAATAATATCTATTTAACCGTTAGATTTTTATATCATCATAGATTTAACTAAGTATTTTCAACTATTAGCGTTAAGTTTTACAATACTTTTGGTGTGCTTAAACCCTGTAAGTTATAATTTTTGTGATTTTCTATTGGTTATGAATGAATTAATTTTTATTTAAAAAAAATACACCCTTTGTATATACAATACTGGACATTAGATACTTATGGGTAATAATATATACTTAAAACTAAACACTTGTTTGATTAGAGAATAATTTTATTGGGAAATTTTTTATAAAAAAATATAATTAAAAAAGTAATATGAAAAGTTGGAAATTAAGGCCTATAATTTTGCTAGAGTCTAATTTTACACGTTAAGTTTTTTTTATTGAAAAAATAGTTAAGAAAATATTGTATGAAAAACTAATAAATTTTGTAAAAGAAGTTTTATTGAAATTTTATCGAATAGTTAAACTTTTTTATATTTGATAAGAAATTAATATAGAAAAAGTAAGTAGAAAAAGTTGTTAAATAAGTTATACATAAGAAAAGTTGAGGAAAAACTTTTTTTCTTTAAAAAATAGTGAGAAGATAAATTTGTAAGTTGAGAATTGTAACAAAAAAAATAAAAACTAAAAATGATAATTTTATCATTTATTATTATAGTTTTTGAGTTATATAAATACCAAAATATCCATACATAATTTTAGAAAGGAGGTTTCTTGAGAAAGTAAACAAAAAAAAAAAAATTATGTGCTCTTCTATTATATGAAAAATTGATAAATTTTATAATAAACTTTTGTTTCAAGTTTATTGAATTGTTAACTTGTTTTTTTATTTAGTAAGAAGTTGATACGGGGAGAGTTAAGAAAAAGTTTTGACGGTGAATTCCATTTTAAAACAGTTAGGGAAAAGGTTTTTCTTTCAAAGAATGTAAAAAGAAAATATTATTTATTAAAAATTGTGTGAAAAAGTGAAAGTAAAATATCACTTTTTTCTTTTATTTATTATATTATTGAGATATAAAAATTATAAAATATTGCTGAAGGGTGAAAAAGGAAAGGTCCTTTCCATGCCAAAGACGCCTCAAAAAATGTCAACTTGCAGGAGAGAAAAATAAGGAGAAAGAGGAGAGAATTTATGTTTTCGTTGGGCAGTGCTTCACAAGTATCCTTTTCATGTGGAACCTTTTCGAAAAAATTTAATTATTAATTATTACTTAATTTCAATTTAATATATTTAAACTATTTTAATAAATATTATATATATTTAAAAAAAACAAAAAAAAAAATTTCGCTACAGTACAAGAAATGAAGTAAAACCTACTCACCTCTCTTCTTCCCTATCTCTCGCATGGACCATGATAAGTACCTTTGACATTCTCTATCAGTCCAAGTGATAGATCTAAAAAGCAATCGAAAATTAGAAATGTTGTAGCGCGTTTTAATAGCACCAACATCTCTTGTGGGCACTGTTGGTACTCGGTACTTTCATGGTTTCCAGAGTCAATGGAGATTAAGACTTGAGAGGGTGAGAAGCTATGGTAGAGAGGGAAAACAAACAAAGGTAATGCAGACTTTTGACAAAGCTGCGATGCACCATAAATTTCACCAATGCATTTTCATGAATATAAGACATAAAAGTTAGTAAGATGGAGGGGATTGTATTTGCATTCTTACAATGGTGGCTGAACTTTGCATTAGATGACTCTAGCGTTTAGTTTGTTTTTGGATTTTATTGCTTAATTTCTGTACCTAATGGACTAAATTCGCTGCTTATGTAAGAAAACTACTCTTATGTAAGACTTGTACCTAATAAGAGTACTCCTTCTACACTACATTAATACATTTTAACTTAT